GTTAGGTCATTAAAGAACAAACTAATAGAACTATGAATTTAGAAGAAATTGGTATTTAAGATGGATGTATAGTCATGCTAGAATAAATGAAGTAATAAATAAAAATGGCATGCCAACATCTTTCTTCCCAACCCTCAAACTTTCTAACAGCCAAGTCAGCATCTTTCTTCCCAACCCTTAAACTTTCGACTTCTCCACGTAATATAGTATTTGCATCCTGCAATGAGCGTACCTTTCTGGCTTGTCTAACAGCTTTATTTTTCTAAAAAATGGCGCCTTGTGGACCCTGGAATCAACGAAATAAGTTCATGTCAAAGGAGTTATCCATAATGAAGTGTATAGAAAATGATATACCTGGAAAATCTGAGCCATCGTGTTCTCGGTTGCCTTTATAGGTCCAAGTTACTCATAGCGCGTCCAGTCTTCAGGAAATAATAGACCTTTGCCAAATGTCCCACCCCGGATTAGAGAACGTATATGAATCAGAAGGAAAGGTAAGCACTATCAAATCATAGGCTACCAACAAAGGCTCTGGATGATAGAATTTGCAGACCAACGGGGAGGTAGCTCGGTCTAGCTCGACAAATCATAAGTTAGGACTATATGGTTGTCAGCTAGCGATGTAAGATGAGAAAACATTTTAGACTTTTCTTTCTCCTTTCTTCTTTCCAGAGCGTCAAGNGAGTGTTAGGTCATTAAAGAACAAATTAATAGAACTATGAATTTAGAAGAAATTGGTATTTAAGATGGATGTATAGTATGCTAGAATAAATGAAGTAATAAATAAAAATGGCATGCCATCATCTTTCTTCCCAACCCTCAAACTTTCTAACAGCCAAGTCAGCATCTTTCTTCCCAACCCTCAAACTTTCGACTTCTCCACGTAATGTAGTATTTGCATCCTGCAATGAGCGTACCTTTCTGGCTTGTCTAACAGCTTTATTTTTCTAAAAAATGGCGCCTTGTGGACCCTGGAATCAACGAAATAAGTTCATGTCAAAGGAATTATCCATAATGAAGTGTATAGAAAATGATATACCTGGAAAATCTGAGCCATCGTGTTCTCGATTGCCTTTATAGGTCCAAGTTACTCATAGCGCGTCCAGTCTTCAGGAAATAATAGACCTTTGCCAAGTGTCCCACCCCGGATTAGATAACGTATATGAATCAGAAGGAAAGGTAAGGACTATCAAATCATAGGCTACCAACAAAGGCTCTGGGTGATAGAATTTGCAGACCAACGGGGAGGTAGCTCGGTCTAGCTCGACAAATCATAAGTTAGGACTATATGGTTGTCAGCTAGCGATGTAAGATGAGAAAACATTTTAGACTTTCCTTTCCCCTTTCTTCTTTCCAGAGCGTCAAGAGAAGACCCTACCACTCTTAACATAATTTGATCTGCAATCTCACGTTTAGTCGAGTTAAGTGGAACGACCAAAGGAAGATCACT